GGACAGCTCAACGCTACGACAGCCACTCTCGCGTGCTTCAGTCGACTCACGCTCTTTGCCACAATTTCAACCATCTGAAAATCGTGTTGTTTTCATAAGAATCGAAGTTTAGTTCCGCACACTACCGCGTGCATGACACGGAAGGGCTCCGTAAAGCTGGCCAGCCGGCGGAGCGTTAGGTTCCGCCGCTAAACAATAACTTGCTTCGTGAAATGCGTTAGCTGGCCTTCTACAGAATGCCCATTTTTAACCAACCGTCTGATACGCGGTGGAGTGCGGAGCTAAAGTGGTGTCTGTAAACAGCCACCATGCATTGGATGTCAGGATGATTTAGCGGTCGAATAATATTGATGCCAATGATTTTGCAATAGAAATACCCATTATCGTATATCGCTAAACATCCATCATACATTCTTAGGGACTTTGGGACTATAGCGGTCGAACGGTTGTTATGACAACAACGCAATAAGATGATATTGAAGCGAAATGCGTTTTCTGTATAGAACACGGTTTTGAGCGATCTATGTGGGGTGAGGCGGGGACAACAGGTAGATAACACATCATCTGAGTGAAGCTCCACCTACATTGGGCGGGTACCTGTCGAATTGGGCAGTGCCAAAGGCAAACGGTTTGGGTTCGGCTATAGAACGGCCTGGTGGGCGGAGCCTTCGCTAAATGTATGAAGCTCAGTAAAAATTCGTGACACTACCAGAAGAAAGTATGTGGAGCTGAAGAAAAATCATCCTGGAAAAGCAACATCTAGGGTGTTTTCAGCATACCTAACTGAGCGGAAGTCCGTCTATGTATAATGGGCCATTTTGTCTTTGTGGGCGGTGTTGATTACAAATCCTCATAATTCGGTTCCAAGAAGTCCCGGCGACTGGCAAAAAAGTGGGTAGAGATTTGTGAGGGAGAACGTCAGCGGCCCATCCCTGACTGGACGGACTGTGCCACCTAACTTATAACTTGGTTCCAAGAAAACCAGGAAACCGGAAGCAGTGGGTAGGTTTGCGAAGGGGAGGAAGTCGACTGCCATTGGTGAGCGTAGCACGCACCGAAGTGGGTGATTTAATACAAAACTTTATATTTCGGTTTAAAGAGGTCCCAGAAGCGATTCGAAAGGTGGTTAGATGTTTGAGAAGGAAGGGACGTTGTCGGTGGGTGGGGCGTGCAGTGAGATGCCACAATACACGATACTTCATAGTCCGGTTACAAAAGGTCTCAGAAGCCGGGAAAAAACGTATAGAAATTACGGAAGAGGAGAAAGTGGAGTGGTGGTGATGGGCATGGCCTGCGCCGAAGTGGGCGGAGTTTGGTCAAAATATTATAACTTGGTTCCAAGAAGTCCCGATGAGGCAGAAAAGTGGGTAAAGGTGAGCACATGGGAGAGTCGAGTACCATTAGTTGGTGGAGCGTGCAATTAGGTAGGCTGAGACTTTTTTTAAAATTGTCTTTCTCCTTTAGTGCAGCCAATCGTCGGAACATTGCTCTTCAGTGGGCAACCTTCAGGTTGCCGGCCGTTCAGAAATCCCGAGTCTTTGGGGCGAAAAGCTCAAAGAGGTTGACTCCGAGTAGGTCCGGATCATCGAACTGCCCCTATTTCAGTACCTTCGACGGCAACAGAGGCGTATGGTAGCCTGTCTCTACCAGGTTTGCTGTACACAATAAGTGGGTCAGATCTTTCTATAACGAGCTTGGAGACCTTTATATTTTTATTTATAAGGGCAGGAGCAGTCGAGCATACCTTCAGTGAAAGACGATTTTTAAGCTTCAAACGCTGCGAAATGCTACGACAGAAATGCTGTGGAGAGAGCATTAACCACCGCTCACATGCGTTTAACAGTGAATGTTTCAAAACGATCCCAAAAGATTTTGCAAGGTGAAAAAGAAAATGCGCAAGAACTTCTCCGAGAACCTAATAGAACTTCCACCATCCACTGATTCAGCGTTGGGGCGAGTCTCATTGATACTGACCACATAAACGTAAACGCTCCGCTTTGTCTCCCTGCTAAAATAAGCGAAGTTCGCAGTTAGAGTCCAACGGTGGGTGGTGTTATCCCGTCGGTGCGCATTTAGAGCCAAGAGCGCCGCTGGTATGGCCCTACAAAAGCGCGGGAGGCGTAGCAGCAGCGAAACGTGCACCCTTGAGGGCCTACCTCCTCTTCCAGTGGGCATATTTCCCCATCTCCGAACAAACTATCATGGAACCTCCCTTTGACGTTGCGGATGTAATAAAGGTCAGAGACATTCTTCGAGCACGAACATTGAATACGGGGTAAGTTAAGGTTTGGTGAACGAAAGCTGAAAGAAAACAGATTGAGTGTTGACAGTGGATTCCGCCACTCTGAGACTGCGTATCGCCTGCCCTCCTTTGTCGTATTTGGTGTTCGTTTAATCAAGAAAATAAGACTGGGCGCGAATCAGTCGCTCTTTGGGATGTCTATGCAATTATGAGGGTCCAGCTGAACCAAATTAGCTCATTCAGCCGATCGGAAGTAAGAACTCGCTTTTTAGAACTTACACTCTCCCATCCATCAACAAGGGTGGGTGATGAAGCGTCCAGTATGAAAACGACTGATTTTGTAACTTCAGACGGGCTCTGAAAGAATAAGTCTATATAGGTTGTGAATATTGGTGGTTTGAAGCAATAAACTAGATAAAGCCGCGTGGACCAATCTACTTGCGGGTAGTATAGAGTTGCATACGAGTATTATAAAACTGCCGTTATCGCCACTCAAACCGCGTGACAAACCTTGGGGCCCTACAAGCATTCCTCGTGGAGCACAAAGATGATCACGACGTAGCGACTAATTAGATTATGTACGGGTTGAAGGAGCCATGGAGCAAGCAAATTCATAAATCTCGTTTGGATAGCTCCTTCCCCATCTTAAAGGGAATAAGAAGGTTCTCGTTTGAACGCTTCATCGGCGATTTGCCTTGCTTCTTCTTTCATTTTCAGTCGGCTCGGCATTTGCTTTCATAATGCTTTCATAATCGACTGTTAAACACCAATTTGATTCGCAATTATTGCTTTGATGTCTTCATGGCGGTTTCCTTCATTTTTTTTCAAATTCAATCGATGTGCAAGAATTCAACAGTTTCATTGTAGAATACTGTTATTCCACCAATTCGGTTCGGATTTGTTGCTTTAACTCTTTTGCTCATCCTATCTGAACGATGTAGGTAAACAATGATAGCGCTCCATTCATTGTTTCTTTGATGACCCTTCTGCGTACTAGAAGTGGGAGCGAATAGGGTTCGATAGGTTAGCCGTAGATGATGTAGTGCAGTCATTTTCGAGGACCACCTGTCGCGCCGGCATGGACGCCTTGCTCCTCGCATAAGCTCAAGAGCATCGGGGTCACCCTGCTTAGGAGCGGCGTCGGTGTCGGCGTGAGGGTAGCTACGGGGACTTACGCCGCGCTCGCTGCCCGCCACTATGCCACGCGGACTCCTAGTAGGCCTAAGCAGCCCCGACTGGAAGTACACCACAACCTACTACGTACCACATTGCCATGGACTACGCCGTGATGTTAACTGCCTAATAAACTACGCTTTATGATGACTCAATGGGCCCGGCCTACGGGCATCTCGCACTCTATGTGCGTACGCAATATATTAAACATAGAAGATATACGTCATGGATGTAACCGTCTGAGTTCTTGCTACACAACATAACAGAAAATGAGACCATAGATTCATGTAAAATGTTAAACTATGAAGAAAATGGAAAACACTACAATTATTGACGACTACTACGACTCACGGGTCGAACCCAGATGCGTCCGTTACGGGGGGTGACGTGGCTTGGCTCCGCTGTCCATCATCGGGCATCCATGCCCGGATCCACTCCAGGACGTACGACGAGACGAGACGCGGAGTACTACGACGGAAGACAAGCGATGACAAGCGACTGCACTCGGCGGCGGCAACACGTAGACTGACTGCAGGCAAGGGCGCCTGCGCTCTGCTTCTCTGGCGCTCTTCTCGAAGCTTCGATAGCACGGGCGCGCCAGGACCCGCGCACACCCGACCAGGCGCGACCCTTTAATGGAGTCGTACGGAAGTCACGACACACCCGAAGTGATACCAATTCATCGCGACTGTCTAGACTGAACAGATTGAGCAGAGAAAACCCTTTGCCTCGGAATTTTTACCTAACAGGGAATGGTCAATTGTTTAGTCAGGCCATTTGTAATGGGGTGCAGTTCGTTGGACCGTCTTGCGACGCTGAACTCAAATCTGTTATGATATCGCGGAAAGATTTTTTGGGAGAATTCCCAAGAATTCTTCTCTTTTTGGCTTTGTCTGGGCTTAATGCTGTAGTGGATAGCCCACCTGCTTCGGAGTCACGTGTTCAAATCCGTACAATCTGTACAATTTTTTGAATTTTTCAGAACTCTTCATACGAACCCAGAAAATGATCGCGCCCTGCGGTGCTCAGTAGATCGCACCTCATAAACTCAATTTTAGAGCAAAGCTGTTTTTGCCGCTTCTGCTGGAAACATACTTTGAAAGTGACGATACCTACTTGACATCACAACTTTTTTTGAAGTTATTGGTAGCAATTCGAAACTTAAGCCGGTGCATATTAGATTGGACGACGCGTTCACTGCTTTGCATAAATATAAGTTTACCTGAGAAGTTCTTGAAAATTCGTATGACAGGGTGTTTCTTAGAAAGCATTTAGAACAAAATGTGCTCAATGTAAATGATTTCGAGTGTCCACACCAACTTCCGTTAGATGTGCGCGGCGTAGTTCTTCCAAATGCTGAGATTTGTCTCCAAAAATGACTTTGTATGAACCTAGAGCGTGCCATCGTGAGAAAACCAGAGAGAAGAATCCCACGTAATTTCTTCAGATGTAGTCACCGGATCCCATCACAGCGTCACAAAACGCGACCATCAGACCACCACATTAAAAATGACAGGACTGTCCAATGGACCATTCCTCGCAAGCAATGCTTCAATAACTTTGAAACAAACTAAGTTGATCTTACAGGCGTTGCTCTTGGTATGGGTAGCGTGGCGGGACCTGGAGCACCTCCGAGAAGGTCAAGCAACCAGTCCACTGCTTTATCCAACTCTTCAGGATCCAGCTTCTCCTGAATATCGTAGGTTTAAGTTTGGTACTGTCAAAGCACAAGAATAGATACAAACTCACCGTGATGTTTTTCATGCGTACTACATTATTGGGATCTTTCGTCACCTCCTGCATACTGGTTTCATTCGCAGGTGTTCCGATTGCGACGTAACCGACTATTACGCCATCGTCACGCAACTGCAGTATGATCGAAGAAGACTATAGGACATACAGGAAAACATTTAGTGAAATGGATATTCCAAGATAGTCTATTGAACTGTAACACAAAATGCGATGATACTGTATTTTCATTGTTACACACGAGCTCCCCAGAAGGGCGCTGATACCTTGAACAGCTATTTTAATTAGAGCAAATGAGAGACACGTTCGTGAAAATGGGCTCTCTAACCGCACAGTTCCACCTTGAGTGCCAGAATGTTCAATATGGTAAGATTCTTCATCAAGTTCGTGGCAGTGAGTTTATGGAGTGAGGAAGGCTCTATAGGAAAGTGTGCGTTCGCCTTACTAGAATTCACAGTAATGGATTTGATACATTTCAGAATGATGGAAACATGAGAAACACTTTTGTGGAAATGGGCCCGCACAATTCCACTTCGAGCGCCAGTATGTGAATATGGTGAGATTCTTTCTCAAACTGTGGCAATGAGTTTGTGGAGTTAGAAACGTGTATGTCCACCTTACTAAAATTCACAGTAATGGATTTGATATATTTCAGAATGGTGGAAACTTATGGTGCTACCCATCCGTCCACAAAAAAGGTTTGAGATCGTGAAAGGATTATGCCTGAATTACCTTCTTGGCAATGTCGTTTTCATCCTCATTTCCAAACAAAGGTTGGTTACAAGTTGAAGTTTGGCCATTTGAGAACACGATCACACTCTTATCTTCAGTGGTCTCCGCCTGAATACATGTTCATTAAGTGCAAGGTTCATTGATGAGGTAATTCCACTCAAATGTGAAAGTAGGGGTAGGAGGTGGACCGCCAGTGGAGAAAAAAGAAAAAATCGTGAAATACACAGGAAATACGAGCCTTTTGCTCTACGCTGCGGAGAAGTTCAAAAGGCCGGCAGGGAGATGAGATTGTTGGAGCGCGGAGAGCGCAAGATAGCGACGCAGACAAGATATCGAGCGGTGGGCGGAGCGTGTCGCAACAGGTGGAGCGTGTCAAAGTTCTTAGCGCCTAGCGTCTAAGCGACATTTTCCAAGTAGGGAAGTGAAGCAACCTCTGCACCGGCGCAGCCACAGGTCCACAACGCCCTATTTTCATGTTCAACTTGCCCGAATTATGTACTCTACTTACATTGAGGAGATCTCTTGCGATACCGTATGCATCAGCTGTAGCGATCTCCCCTCCAGCTGGATGATACGCCAGCAATTGATTCCTGAACACAAAAATTTTGCAATGCATTAATATGACACAAATGAGAATCCTTCTCTGAAATACTCATATCGGTCGTGCATTGCGTGGCATCTAGTAGTATTAGGCGTTAGCCACAAGCGCCAGTAAGGCAAAACGCCACTATATAAGCAAGAGGGAAAACGGATTGAACTTCTGTTTGCCGGTTACCGGTTAGCGATTTCTGATGTCAACAGTGAACAGTGATGCAAGTAATACGAGTCACCTTAATTGATCAGGAGTGTAGGTATCCATGTGCAAGATGATTTCTGATGGACAGCTCATAGCTACAGCTGCCACTCTAGCTTTCTTCAGCCCATTCACAGTTCTAACCACTAGCTCAACCATCTGTAAATCGAGCAATTTGAATGGACACCGTGTGGTATGGCTGTTCCATATGTTTCTCATTTATGGATCACGGTTGTTGAACCTCAGCGTTTTTTCACGCTAGCGCCCCCGTATCTTTATGCAAAAATAAAAGTTATTGGGTTGGAGCATAACTTCGTAGCGTTTTCATTTTCCAGCTTCAAATTCGGTAAATACAGTGCGTCCCCAAAAACGTTCCTTGAAGTATTGACCAAATTGAGCAGCATACATTATCGGATTCGTTGTCCAGGAAAACTACGAAACACATGTTTTCAGACAGGCAAGTCTATGGCGAAATTTTTTAGAAGCATTTTTTCGTTTTTTGACCGTTTCATAGTATACGTCCACTTTGAATTTCTGTTTATTTATGCAAAGTCAGAAAGTGCTCAATGAAAATAAGTTGTCAATTGGTGCTCTCTGTTCGAATGGCAGCTCTATGAGTCAATGTGACATACTCACTGTTGAACTGCCTAAGGATTGAAGGGCCGATGCTGCAGCACCCGTCCATGATCGCCTTTTCATTGTGTAGAAGTTGGAAAACCGCCTTTTGTTGTCGTGAACCTGTTGCACAATTACACCCCAAAGTTTTCTATGGAGTTCAGATCAGGACTGCGTGCAGGCCGCTCCATAACGACCACTTTCTGTAGAACCACGCAGACGTTGACCTGTAAGCATGGACACTTGCACTGTCCTGCTAGAAAACTAGCTTTTATCGCCGCCTGCAGTTCAGGAACAGCGATAAGTTTGATCCCAAAGCTCTTGTCAGTCCATTCGGTAAAAAACAAATGCGAGCTCCAGCTTCCTGTCCCACAGAAGACCCCTCAAACTATCAGCGAACCGATACCAAACCTGCGCTTGCTGATCTGCACTGGGTCTTTCTTCAGATCACCCCAGTTACATCTGACATTACCGTGTGCGCCCGGGTTATGATTCTTTTCGTCGGAGAAGACTATTCAAAGAATTTGAAAGACTCTACAGTGCAGAAACTGCGCCCAGTTTTACAGCTGCACCTGGTTCCAATCCGTTGCCGCGTCCTTTCGAGTAAAACCAAGACGAGCCAACTCGAGTGCTCCGGTTAGATGTGGGTCTTGCTCATAAATTCTCTCACAATGTCACCGCTCCATTTGATAGCCCTCACTACGGTGGATTTCGAGACAAACACCTACAAATCTGCACGGATTTGGTTGACGCTGCATGTGTTGCTGAAAGCTTCCCTCCGAATTTCCTTGTTCATCTCTGTCGGATAGCTTGCGTTAGCGTTTAGGAGTTTCGCCGTCGTGGATCCTTCAAAATCTTCAAGATAAGAACAAAGCATGAGTGGATCCTGTCGATTTGCCTTTTGGTTTGCCGATGCCTGAGTTCGCCATCATGCAGAGTCCGAAATCGAGCTCTTTTCCTCTTTAGAGAGAAGGCGCGAGAAGACTAGTCGGTTCTACATCTGGTACAAACACGCACTTCGGTTGGATCAGGAAAATTTATTTCGAGAAATATACTAAGAGTGGACGTATATTATGAAACGGTCGAAAATCGAAGAAGTACTTCTAAAAAATTTCCCCGTAATCTTACTTCTTTGAGAACGTGCTTTTCGTTGTTATCCAACACGGTGAATCGAATAAGTATGTAATACGAATATAACGAATATGTATGCTGCGAAATGGGGCAAAATCTTTGAGAAACGTTTATAGTAAAATAAGGGGTGGACGTATACCAAGGAAACGCACTGTACAATACTCAGGGAATCTCATATATCATTTGAAATTACTTCTTCCGCACTTCAATAACTTATTTGTCGTTTTCTTCTATACTGTGAGATATTGTGAGATCACTCAGATATAGTGCTCCATTAGTGCAAAATTGGAAAAGCAAGGGACGAAAGTTTATACAAAGGAAGAATTGCAAGAATAGGAGATTTTCAGAATCCGTCGTCATCACCGAATTTTACTCCAGTCGATCTTACAAATCATATTCACGTCGTACAAATTGAGAATAATGAGGACTCTGAAAACGGGCTCAGTACCCTTTTTTAAATTCTAAACCCGGTAATTTCTTGCGAAATGGAATCAAAGTCGTAAATAATGACGAGAAGAACATCACTGATTAGTTTTATGCTTGGCTTTGCTTTTGGGTTTTGCTTTGAACGTTTTTGCCGAATGCGAGCGCTACGATATTATGCTCCAACCCAATACCATGGAGAGACTTACATTCCTCCATCCCTCTCCTAGAGCAGCTGATGAAGCGTCTAGTAGAAAGACGACTGACGCAGCTCCAGATGTGCCCTAAAAGGCAATGAATAATTTGTAACCATGGATCATTGGTGTTTGATTGCGGCTTCTTCTGGCAGTATAGCTCAGCTCTGCTTTGGTCCATCTAGAGAAACACGAACGACAACAAAGTGGTCATTCCATTTTTGGTTTTCCTTGAAGCAACATTTATAGGTTCTGTCATGCAAACTTATTGTAAGTACCAGTTTAGCTCCGCACGCAACCGCGCGCATCACATGGTAGGCTTAGTGAAACTGGACAACTTGCTGAATATTAGGTCACGTGGCTGAGAAACTAACAGTAAGATGTTTGGAAGATGTGTCACATGAATTTCAAAGGTGTCCAATTTTGCTGAAGATTGTAGCGTAATGCGCGCAGTAGCATGCGGAATGAAAATGGTACTTATCATGACTTCGTAAACATTTAGCATTGATATCGAGCTCGGATGATTTAGCGGTTTATAGAATTTCCACAATTGAAGAATCGGTGTGTAAGTGAAATATAACCAATCAATCAGCATCTAACCATGATGGAAATTGGAAATATGATGGAAATTCGCTATTGGTCCAAAGTTGAGCAGCTCAACTTTCTTTGCTTCTTTAGATGAAAGGTAGGAATGGAACATATTCACGTGCTAGGGACCTGGTTTAGTTCAACTGAGTGCACGCTCAACTGTCGCTACTTTTATCAGTACAGTTGCCGCTCATACCACTTTCTGTCACCTACATTCAACCCTCGCCACCTTGATCGCTTGCCAGTGATAATTGCAACGAAGTTGGAGAGACCTGCATTCAAACGCTCTTATCATTCCTTGTCATTTGTTATCAGTTCATACTGTTCGCAATCGGTGTCCCGGTCCCAACCTCCAGGCAACGTGTAGGAGCTAATATTTACTGTCACCACGAAGGCTGCAACGAAATTAGCAGTACTCAAAATCCTAACTTCCTTATCAACCGTTATCGCTTGTTATCACTTCTGATCATCCACTATCCGTGTTCCCGTCCCATCCCCTATACCACATGTGAGAGCCAAGGTTCCAATGTAACCGCAAGGGCCGCAACGAAACTGGTGGTATCCACACTTTGACGCCCCTTATCAGTTCTTATCAGTTGCTACCACATTCGTTCACTCAACTTCTTGGTCCCCGCCTCACCCCACATATCATACATGAGTGCAAACTCTCCACCTGTCAACGCGAACGGTGTAACGAAATTGGTGACATCAACATTTCGACGTCCGTTATCAGCTCCTATCAGTAGTTATCACTTCCCGCCACCCGTCATCAGTGTTCACCTCCGGCCCCCTATATATCCTAGAAGTTTGAGCGCTCTGGGTCCAAAGGGGTGAAGTTATGAATTTCCGGTCAGACACACACACAACCGCTTAGCCGAATATATAGTAGGATGAAATAAGGCATATTCGTGAAGTCTTGTCTCGGTAGTTTCATTATTCCGGCTATATTTAGGGGCAAACTTGGAAGAAAAGCTGAGCTTGATCTCACCGCTGGGCTTTGTGTGACTGGAATTGGCGGCTTGACGGTGTTTCTTTGCTTTGTGGTGACCTTTTCCAATATCGGTGACGTTGCTGTAACTTCCTCGGTTGTGCCCTCCGGAGCACCTTTGAGAAGGTCAAGCAACCAGTCCACTGCTTTATCCAACTCTTCAGGATCCAGCTTCTTCTGAATATCGTCTGTTTAAATTTGGTACTGTCAAAGCGCAAGAGTAGATACAAGCCCACCGTGATGTTTTTCATACGTACTACTTTGTTGGGATCTTGCGTCACCTCCTCCATACTGGTTTCATTCGCAGGTGTTCCGATTACGACGTAACCTACTTTTATGCCTCCGTCGCGCAACTGCAATGTGAATGAAGAAAGCT